TTTTTTTTTTTTTTTTTTTTGGCAATGAAAACAAATTCTATGGACAATTGTAAAAAAAAAAATCCCCGTAATGAACAATTTACATGGAAACAAAGTCAAACGAATACCAAAAGATCCAAAATTTCAACATTTTTCAGGTGAAAATTTATACAAATCAAACACAATTAATTGACAATTCTCAGGGAAACATTTCTTGGTAATTCAATTCCCCGTAATTCATTTTTTTCCACCCAAATTTCATTCTTTCAATCAAACGGACCCTATTAGTGATTATACAGAATGAAGACAAATTATAATAAAACTTAAATATTTTTTTTCATTTCTAAATCATAATTTAGGTATTCTACTTCTAGATCAAGTTCAAAGTTTTTACATAACCAGTCCTTAAGTCAAAAAAGATTGACAAAGGACTTTGTAAATAGTGGGTGGGACCCTCTCTAGGGCATCCACTTCTCTGTTTGTCATTTCATGTTGTAGAAACTAGACGGTCAATATCTTTTTCTCGACTTAGAAAAGTAGTCATTTGTAGAGACTCATTTGGAACGAGAGTAATCGAGCTTCTAGACCTAGTTGAATCTTACCATGTGTAGTAAACATTGGATTCCCAGCGGCAAACTCGAATTGTGGTCAAATTCTCTTGGTTTTCTAATACCGTTGACAGGTTTGTGGGGTTTAAACATTAACATCCACAAACTAATGTAAATGCTGACTCAGATCCATGTCAACATTACTTGGATTTCTGATCTCATATGTCGTTTACCAAAATATTATTGGTCCAAAATAATCAGCATAATACACCAAGAATATGCGATTAAAGCAATAGTTTTTGCGTATGGGGTTTTGGATTTACTTGTCCTAGTTTAGCTATATAAGAATTCAATTCTTGATCAAGGTTTCTCACCTTTGATTATAACTTTTCCTTGTTCTTGAAATCTACATTTGAAGGCTATACCAAAGTTGTATACGTGAAAAAAAAAAAAGGTAGATTATTTTTTGTTTTAGATTTTCTTGAATTATAAGCTGAAAAGTCCATTTTCATTAGATTGCTTAGGATTGCATGTTTCTTAGATTTTAATCTCCAACCTCTTCACTTTGGACATCTGAACTATTTTATTAGCATTCTTGTGTAAGATTTCACATTGTTTTGATCTTCATATATGGTTTCATTTTGATTCAATTCTGTGCAGTTGAAGTGGGAAGGCATTGAGGGATTACATTAGGCAAAGATGACAATAACTGCAGTTCCAGTTATAAAAAATGGCTGCCTCATGGTACGCGGCAAGGTTGTTTTGACCGGAGTACCGGAAAATGTCGTCATTTCTCCGGTGGGTTCGAAGGCCGCTTTTCTCGGAGCAAGTTCGACAGTTTCAAGTTCTCAACATGTTTTTAATCTTGGAATTCTCGAGTAAGTGTTTCTTATCATTGCTGCTTCTTTTTTCTCCTATTAAAAACACTTGCTTAAGAAATGAGTGATTGCCCTTCTGTGACCCAAATAATGTGCTTCTCAGGAATTATAAGTTAATGTGTCTGTTCATAGCCAAGATCTGGTGGATGATTCCACGTGTCGGAAAATCAGCCAGTGATATCCCTATGGAGACTCAAATGCTTCTCTTGGAAGCAGGAGAAGATTCAGTACTTGATGTTGATGATGAAACTTCTGCGGAGGCAACAACTCCAGAAAATAAATTTTACATTCTTGTATTGCCTATACTGGATGGACTGTTTAGGACAACATTGCAAGGGACACCATCAAATGAGCTTCAGTTCTGCTATGAAAGTGGTAGGTTTGCTCTTCATTTTTCAAAAATCCTTTACCTGACCCAGTCGTGTTGGGTATTAATGTAACTGGTATGTCCAGGGAATATATGGTCCCGTCTGATTTTTGTGCATTTTTAAGGTGATCCTGATGTCCAAACTTCTCAAGCATTAGAGGGAGTTTTCATCAGCTCAGGGGACAACCCATTTGAACTGATCAAGGATTCAATTAAGTATGTTTCTTCAACTGTCAATATGATTTATTTACTTATTAAGGCGGTCGTACTATAATTTCATATTCTGATGCTTCCAAATTCCTATTTCTGCAGGATATTGGCCAAGCTCAAGGGTACATTTTCTCACCTTGAAAACAAAAAGGTAAAAATGATTCTTGACCCCACCCTACCCCACCCCACCACACAATTTGTTCAACTATACCTTAGAACATTGAAACTAAGAGTATATCACGTTTCTACTGACAGGCCCCTGCTCATTTAGATTGGTTTGGATGGTGTACATGGGATGCTTTCTACACTGAAGTTGATCCAAACGGAATCAAAGAGGGTCTTCAAAGGTTTAACATCAAAACCTTAACTACATCAAAAGTTTTCATCGTAGTTGAACAAAACTAAAACAGGTCTACTCAATCACATGAACTTTGACTTCGTATTTCAGTTTTAAAGAAGGTGGGATTCCCCCTAAATTCCTGATCATAGATGATGGATGGCAAGAAACAGCAAATGAATTTCAAAAGGAAGGCCAACCTCGTGTTGAAGGAACCCAGTATGTCCTCTCTGCGAGATCTAGTAAGATTTTGTAAATCCTTTGAGATCATGGTACTAATAATGTACTGCTCCTACCTTTGTATAGATTTGCCACCAGATTAACAGATATCAAGGAAAACAGCAAGTTCAAGGGCTCGGAATCAGACGGTTCATCTACTAATCTCAAAGAGTTTGTCCACACAATCAAAGAGAACTATGGCTTAAAGTAAGTTTCCAGGAGTTCTAATAATGACAACAAACTTCTGTTTCATAAAATGAGTAAATGCTCAAAGTTACTACATGATGCAGATATGTTTATATGTGGCATGCTTTAGCTGGATACTGGGGAGGTGTTTCTCCTTCTTCTGAAGCACTAAAGAAGTACAATCCTAAGCTTGCTTATCCAGTTCAATCGCCAGGAAATATTGGGAATGTTAGAGACATAGCCATGGACAGTTTGGAGAAGTATGGAGTTGGAGTAATAGACCCTCATAAGTTGTATGACTTCTACAATGACCTCCATAGCTACCTTGCCGATAGTGGAGTTGATGGTGTCAAGGTTGATGTCCAGAACTTAATACAAACCTTAGGTTTGGGATATGGTGGTCGAGTTTCAATTAGTAAACAGTACCATGAAGCTCTTGATGAATCTATAGAGAAGAACTTCAGAGAAAATAACTTAATTTGTTGCATGTGTCACAATTCAGACAACATTTTTAGGTGAAGCCACTGAACGCCAGTTCCTACAATAGCTTCAAATTTTCAGCATCTCAAATATAATGTCTGATTTTTAATATTTTTTAAATCTTATCAATTTTTAGTTCAAAGAAGAGTGCAACAGCTAGAGCCTCAGAGGATTTCATGCCTAATGAACCAACATTTCAGACTCTACATATTGCATCAGTGTCTTTCAACAGCCTTCTTATGGGGGAAACTGTCGTGCCCGACTGGGATATGTTCCATGTAAGTATCTTTTATCTATGTTTTCATGTTCCAGAAATTATTTTATTCTGCTATGTTTAATCTACGACCTGTCAGGCTAAAGACCAGCATAGAAACGGTAAATTGAATTTCAAATATAACAAAAATTAATACAACAAAGCTAGCTAAATACCGACTCCCTTTTCTTTCTTGAATATAGAGCAACCACAGTACTGCAGAGTTTCATGGAGCAGCAAGAGCACTGGGAGGATGTCCAGTGTATGTTAGGTAGGATATTTCTGTCACTCCACATCTTAGAAACATATAATAGGCTTTCAATTTTTTTATCAATGTGAAAACGCATCATTTATATTACAGTGACAAGCCAGGCAAACACGACTTCAAGATCCTCAAGAAACTTGTTCTTTCTGATGGAACCATCTTAAGAGCTAAATATGCTGGCCGACCTACTCGAGATTGCCTATTTGTAGATCCAGTCATGGACGGCAAGAGGTAATCTTTTATATTTATGTTTAATACCTTAATTCTTTAATCAACATATTACTTCCATCTACCATTACTAACTACAAATTTCTATTTAATGACTTCAAACAGCTTGATGAAGATATGGAACTTGAATAAGCTAAACGGAGTAATAGGGGCTTTCAACTGCCAGGGTGCAGGATGTTGGCCGATGAAAGAAGCTCCTGAATCCAGTCCAAACTCAACATTAAATGCTGTACAAATTACGGGCCATGTCACTCCTCTTGATGTTGAATTCCTTGAAGAGATTGCAGGGGAAACGTGGAATGGAGACTGTGCAATATTTGCATTCAATACAGGTTAGTCATCTGCCATTATTTTCAATATATAGTCACTCAACAAAACAGAAATCTGAATACTGAACACTTCATGTTGCAGGATCTCTTTCCAGGGTGCCAAGGAACAAAAACATTCAAGTGTCTCTAGGTGTATTAGAATGCGAAATTTTTACTATCTCCCCAATCGAGGTGAGCAAAGCTCTCAACACTTCTATTCCAATCCACTAATTTCGAGTAAGACTAACATGTAGTTCTAAATGCCTATTTTACTAATAGGAGATCAATGAAAACCTTCATTTTGCACCTATCGGATTAATGGACATGTACAACTCGGGGGGAGCAATTGAAGAGTTCAGCTTTAAGGAGACAATAACAATCAAAGCAAGAGGTTCTGGACGATTTGGATCATATTCAAGTACAAAACCTAGTAGTTGCAAGGTGGATATGAAGGAGGAGGAGTTCACCTATAATCCTGCAGATGGATTATTGACCATAAATCTTCAAGGTGACGGCAGCCTAAGAGATATAGAAATTGTATATTAAAGCATCATCATGTGAGTGATCTTTGATTTTAAGAGTGTTGCTAGCGTACAAAATTTCCAATTATCAAAGAGCGCAGAGTTTTCATGAGTTTTTAAGAAATGTACAATGTAGCACGAAGATTGAATTCAAGAATGGAAAAAGCTATCATCTTTTTCTTTACTTGTATTTTGCTGTAGAACCCCAATTTACATGCCCCCACCCCACCCCCAATTGAACTTGGTTGACTGGAATCTAAAAGAAATTCAAAACCAAAAGAACCAGATGTTTATAAACCGCAAAAAACAACAAAAAATACTCTTTTTTTAAAAAAAAAATTGTGACGTGTCAACTTTGTGGGTTACCTCTAGATTGATTTAATGAATCTGCTCATAATAGCAGTATCTCTTAAAATTAAATCCATCTACAATCAATATTAGAACATATAATAAGAGTGCTATGAATTATACCATCCCTTCCTCTCCACCTCTTTATTCAACATAGGATTAGGATTAGTAGTAATAAAGAAAGATTCTCTTTCTAAAAGTCAGTTATTCAGCTAAATGAAGCAGCTCAAACATAATAGGGAAGGTGTAAGTATAAAAATAAGACCATCACATTATGGCTCAAGTATAAACATAATAGGGAAGCTGCTATGAATTTTAAGAAACATGATTCCTACCATGATAATGCTTGCACAAATCCGTTCACAACAGTACTCAACATTCAAATAGGATAAGTAGAGTTAAACCACCTTGTCTCCAGACTGTAAAACATTTAAACTTACACAGATGATCTAAATCTGTATATCAGATGCAACTTAAAAATCTAAAAGCAACTGTGGAAGTATCCTCTCCAGATGAGTTGCTTCTATTTTATTAGAACCCTCTGCTTCAGCAATTGTAGCAGCACGTTGAATAGCCTCTACAGCATGGAGCAAAATATGTAATAAATTAGTAATTTTTTTAAGAACCTTTGCTAAGTGATGCAGAGAATGAGATATCATTATAAGAAGTATAAAATTACAAATAATAGCAGAAAGAAAGGACGATTTTCATTTTAAGCCGTCACCTGTCACAAAGAGTCGAAGGAGTTCACAGCTCAGCTTCAATGCATTTGCATTAGCTGCATAAAGACGTAAGTTAGCTGCAGAGCAAACATAAGAAAAGAACTGCATTAAATAATACATGATTTCAATAGAACTTAAATGGTCCACTTCTTGGACTTGAGGACAGCATTACTCGGGGAAAGGTTAAATGGAATGCTAAAGTAAGTTAAGAGAAGACTTGGTTTAGTATTAAAGGATGGAAAACAAGTTTCTTAAACCATCCGTGCCTGAGTTTTCATCACCTAATGAGAAAGTTAAAAACAAGCAAATCCAACAGCCACCACTACTAGACCTTGCACTGTTTTGGAATTAAGCCCCCAGTCAAACATCGATGATAATATTGAAATTCATGTAAAACTCAAAAGGAACATTACATATGATTTTACTTTAGTTTACAAGCCAGCTGGTTCACCTCCAGCTAATTTTCTTGTGTATACAAATGATTAAAAGAACCTATGTAGATCAGCAAAGATACAAACCAGTTTTCTGTTTCTACCTCAGAATAGATATCCACAATGCCTTTGCAACCAGGACACAGCCAAAAGCATATCTAACTATAAAGGAAACATAATAACCATGGTTTCAACGTGATTTCATCACCACATATTCTTTAAATGTAACAAGGATTTAAGCTTCCAAAAAGGCTCTAACATTCAATCACTTTGGAGCATGATGTGTTTTTGCAATTTGCCAAATCTTACAGCTACATTTTCTATGTTCGGTTAATAGCTACATGTACAATTGTCTACACTAGATTACGATATTAGAGCAATCATAAACTACCTTCTTATGTTCTGTTGATTTATAAATGACCAACATCGAATCAATTGTAGGACATGAAGATACACGAATTCTCAAATGACGATTAAAAATCCAAACCATGAGTGTGGATTCCTTACCAGACGTAAGCCGATTCTTCTTTGATGTGCCGACCCCCATCTATAAATAATAGCAAGCATTCAAATCTCATAACAATTCGAAAAAAAGGGGACTTTGATATTTTTAAATTATCATAGTATTTTTAATATCAGGCATTTCATATGTACATGAAATAATCGATGGATGTTCAATCAAATTGTCAAATATAACATCCACTCCTATTAGGAAAGAATTAAAAGTGCCTTTATTTACGAAATGAAATTGAATAGGTTATAATCTAAATTTGATTAGAAAATGAACCTCAGCCTCCATAGTTTCTGTGCGTTCATTTTTCTCCCGCTCTGCCCCAAAAAAAAAAAAATTTGTAATGTTGGATTCAATTTCAGAAAGCAACTAAAATGAAAACGAAATTGAAGGGAAAAAAAAGAGGTACGAATAACCTGCTGCTCTTCTTTTCCAAACGAGTTGGAAAATTGCACGAATCAAATCCTGCTTACATACACCAATTAAAATAATAAGATTTCAGATTATTTACTGCCATAATGAACACAATTATACAAGAATATATTTCATTATTATACGAAATTGATGAAGAAAATGAGATAAAACTGGTGTTTTACAGGATCGAAAGTATTTCCCTCCATTGAAAGATGAACCCGAACCAACCTAATTTTTTTAATAAGAAATCTCAAGGGAAAAACATGATAATCAATAAGAACCATAAAAATGGGTTGTCACGTAGAGCCCCTATAGCTCAGTGGTAGAGCGTCAGTCTTGTAAACTGAAGGTCTGTAGTTCGATCCTGCATGGGGGCAATTTTTCTTTTTCCAAGTGTTAAATTCGTCTTTTAACCCCGCCCCCCCGCTTTATTAAGCGAGTCGAACCTAGGGTGTCAATTTGGCTCGTTGATTCCGGTTTTTTTTTTCTTTTTCCAAGTGTTAAATGGGATGGACACAACTCGATTCACTTCATTCAAGTATTGTTCAGCTAGCCCTTTGATGAGGCGAGTCGAACCTAGAGTTGTCAATTTGACTTGTCGACTCGGACGGCATGGGAAAAGTTCGATCCAACGTCCCAATTCATCCAAGTATTGTTCAGCTCATCTATTGATGAGGCGAGTTGAACCTAGGGTCTCAATTTGGCCCATCGGTTCAGGCGGCAAGGAAAAGCCCGAGCCGTCAAACCTAGGGGTGTCAATTTGACTCCACGACTCGGACGGCACGGGAAAAGCTCAAGCCAACGTCCCAATTCATCCAAGTATTGTTTAGCTCCCCTCTTGATGAGGTGAGTCGAACATAGGGTGCCAATTTGGCTCATTGGCTAGGGCAGTATGGAAAAAGCTCGGGTCGTGCCTCATTTTGGGGCGTCGGCTCGAGTTCGAGTCAGCCCCATCGAGTCACACAGGCCATTTTTGACCCATAACGAGCCGAGTTTAAAAAAAAAAATAGAATCTGCAAACTTTAAAATAAATACATTATTTAGCTGTATAAGGCAACATTAGCTGCATGTTCAGACAACAATTACTATTGCCTTGTTTAAGGTAGCACATACTAGGGTTGTACAAAAAATCGCGAAACCACAAACCGAACCGAAGTCGTTGGTTTGGGTCCCCGTGGACCCGCTATTTTTTTTTTCCTCAAACTGAACCAAACTGTTTCAAAATGGTTTGGTTTATATATCAATATTCAAAAAACGCATAAAACCGAACCTAACCGTTTTTTAATTAAA